CACACACACACACACACACACACACACACAATCACTGGTTTTGCTTCTCTAAAAAAATCCGTCTAAGACAATCTCTAACACCAAATCTGATAGTAAAGTATTTCAGACTTCATCCTACGATAAACTTGGATCACAGAAAAACCTGTGAACTAAAATGAGTAATGGAAAAGTGACGAAGACTGCACCTGTCAAAGCCAGAAAACTTGCGAGACACGGAAAAAGCATGCCATCCCATTAAGTCCTGGCTCCCACGGGTTGTACTGTATATGTACTTACTTAAGTAGTATATATATGTGTGTGTGTTTACCACATTTCAATAGGACTATGTTCATAATCATATTTATTTAATGAATTAATTACTACTTTCCTTATTTTTAGGAGCCCTCGTGGTGTGGTGGTTACCTGTTGGGCGGCTAGTGGAGAGGTGAGCAGTTTGAAACCATGAGTGGCTGTGTGGGAGAAAAATGAGACTGTCTACTCCCATAGAGTGGCAGTCTCAGACACTGACAGGGGCAGTTCTACTCTGTCCTACAGGGGTGCCATGAGTCGACATTGACTCGATGGCAGTGAGTTTGTTTTGGGTTTCCCCTATTTTTAAATCATGTGGGCAGCTTCCAAAGCTACACGAATTACCATGACTACTAATCCCTTAATAGGCTCCAATCAAAAAAGCTTTCATTAAAAACAAAAACAAAAGCAGGCATTGTGTTGGAAAGAAACCGTTGGCTGAAACTCCAGATAATCACTGACTGACTATGTGATCCTGCTCAAGCTTCTTCACTCACCTCGGTTTAGTTTCATCACCAAGAAAATGAAAGGGCTCGTTATAAAGATGGTGCTAAAAGCAAAGAAGGAAACCCCTGGCCCTCCCAAAACGGAAGCCAAAGCAAAGGCGTTAAAGGCCAAGAAGGCCTGCTGAAAGGCGTCCACAGCCACAAAAAAGAAGAAGATCCCCACATCACCCACCTTCCAGCGGGCCAAGACCCTGAGGCTAAGAAGGCAGCCACAGTACCCTGGGAAGAGCACCCCCAGAAGAAACACGCTGGACCACTGTGCCATCACCAAGTTCCCCCTAACCACAGAGTCCGCCTTGAAGGAGAGGGTAGAGAACAACACATTTGTGTTCATTGTGGATGTCAAAGCCAGCAAGTCCCCCATCAAACAGGCTGTGAAGAAGCTCTTTGACATTGATGAAGGCAAGGTCAACACCCTGATTAGGCTCGATGGTGAGAAGAAGGCATACATTGAGTGTAACTCTTTAGATGTTGCCAACAAGATCAGAATCATCTACACTGAGTCTAGCTGGCTAAATACAAACTTTTTCAATACAAAAATGAAAGGGTGGAGAAATTATATCTAGGACTGTTAGTTTACTAATAGTGAGTCGAGAAATTTCTGTCTCGGTCAGATAACTTACCTCTCTTAATACAGGATCAGTTATTGAATTCAAATTGACAGCTCCTTCATAGGTCAGATAATAGAACATGTTGAGGGACCGGACAGCTTCTGGTCCTTGCTGTTTATAGCCAAAAATGAGATCAATCCATTGGTGAAGCTGGCAGGAGACAAATTCACTCTCTAGGGCCTAAAAAGGGGGATAAATCAGATTAATGTGCTGAATTCTATTAAAACAAACAAACAAACAAACATAAATTTAAGTCAAGGAGTAAAGTTTAACACTAAATTTACTCTAAACAAAGTGTTACCCATATACACACACCCCTATTCTGATTACCACCAGAATCTGTTATTTGTTTATAATTAAACTCTCTAGCACTTGTCACACTGAAGTGTGATAGAGCTCTTTATAGCTGTATTCTTCCACTTTATTGGAAGCATCAGGAGGGCCAGAACTGGGTCTGTCCTGGTCACATTTGTGACTCAGGACCTGACAGGGACTCAGTTTATATTTAAAAGAAAGGAAGGCATTTGATGTAAAGGCTATGGAGAAAAATGTGAAAACAGTTTATTATTCACTTGAAATATTTATAATTTTCCTAGAATTAAAACACTTTGTTTGCTATTACAACAGTTGAAGTAAATTTGGGTATTTTGAGCTTGTGTGCCAGCAAATTTGAGTTTCAGAGGGGGTCCACACACTGTTATCAAGTTAATTCTGACCCACAGGACAGGGCAGAACTTCTCTAAAGTGTTTCTGAGACTATAAATCTTTGTAGAAGCAGATTGGTGTGGAGAACATTAACTTATGATTGCTGATTTTCCAATATAGACATGAGTATTATATTATACAAAATATTCTATGCTATTAAGAAAACAATGCTATGATCCAATCAGTTATCAATGAGCATAATAAATGAATATTCCACGCTAATTCTGGGTACAAGACCAACTTCCCATCTCATTGGACAGTCTCGGTTATTAGCATTGTATGTCAAACACAGTGCTGCTGGTTTTGTTGGATGGTTTCATGTTGGTTCTAACTGGTCCTGCACCATCCTCACATTGTGGCTATGTCTGAGTGCACTGTTGTAACCACTGTGTCAATCCATATCTTTGAGGGGCTCCCTCTATTTTACTGACTCGCTTCCAAACATAATGTCCTTCAGGGACTGGTCCTTCCTGATACTATGTCCAGAGGACATGAAACAAAGTCTAGCCATCCTACATTCAAAGAAGCCTACTGACTGTATTTGTTCCAGGACAGATCTGTTTGCTCTCTGGCAGTCCATGGTAGTTTCATACTCTTCATCAGCACCATAGTTTAAATACTTCAATCCTTCCGTACTCTTCCTTAGTCATCATCTGCTTTCACATTCATACGCGGTGACTGAAGAATGCCCCAGGTTGGGACATGCACACCACAGTCCTCAGTGTTAAGGTATGAGGACATTGTTATTGACTGAGGGTACTTGTTAAGAAGCAGTCGTGATCTAGCAGTTCTACACTTGGCTGCTAACTATAAGACCAGCAGCTGCTCCACAAGAGAAAGACTTGGCTTTCTACCCCTGCAAAGGGTTACAGTTTTGGAAACCCACAGGCGCAGTTCTACTCTGTTCTACAGGTCACTGTGAATGAGAATAGACTCAAAGAAGAGTAATTGTTACACAACTTGACTAAGGTAGCTGTTATCATAAACTATACATCAGAAAAAGAGGGCGAAGGGAAATTGCAAAGAAAGTGCTTCATATAATTTTAAAGATATAACAGCAGCCCAAACAAACCAACCCATCCACCCACCACCACCAGACTGTGCCTGTGGATTGATACTATTGGCACTGAATACTCTTCACACTAAGCACAACTAAATACTTCATGGGGCTAGTTTTCTCGGATCAAGGTTTGAGGTCATAGCTTCATAGATCTATCCACTCAATTGGCCTACAGTTGCTTTTAGAGTTTCTGTCCTTCCTCCTAGAAGAACGCGGGTGGCACAAGTGGTTTTGCACTGAGCTGCGATCCCTGAGGTCGGCTGTTGGAAACCACCAGCTAGCTGCTCCTTGGGAGAAAGACAGGGTTTTCTAGTCCCGTAATCGGAAACTCAAAGGAACAGTTCTACCCTGTCCTATAGATTCGCTATGAGTTTGGCATCCACTGGATGGCAGTTTCTTTTGTTTGGGCTTTGGTTTTTTGTTTTAAGGCCTTACCTTCTAGTTTAATGGCATTTTTAAAGCTTACAATTAGCCACCTAAATCAGGACCAAAAAATGGTCTCTCTTTGCCTAGAACAGAAAAGGAAGAAGGAAATCCAGGCATTAAAGAGAGAAACAGACTGCTGGTTTACTTGTCTACATTAAGAGTGCCTAGCTACCATTACTGAATGTTGTGCTGAAGTATGCCATAGCTGGAGCCTGACCAAAAGGAGTATTAATTAGGGGCCAAAAAATAAAATTCAGATGGAAACTAGAATCACTGGATCCATTGAGATCGAAGACACTTAACATCTATTGCCCAGAAATAGCCTTTAAACCTTGAACCAACAATGTCCCACGAAGTCATGATTACATTAAACAATGTAACTCAAGTAGGAAATGTCTGCTTTGAGAATAGTGCTCTTATCAAGAGTTATCTATATGGGGTAAAATTGACAACGGTTCATCTACAGCGTAGATGAGAACTTTAAAGAGCAGGGTCTGACATAGCAGAGGTAACAGCACAGGTAATGCTGACACATTAAAATGTAACCAGTGTCACTGAAGTTCACATGTAAAAATTGTGAGTGCATGCCGGTTTGGTTGTACTACACAGACAAAAAGAAAGAAATATAAGACCACCGTTGGACAAAAGCCATTCCTGTTGGTACATATTTATGTAAATCTGTGCTTTATTAAAATGAGTATCTATGACTAAAGAAGGCATTTATGGCAAAATACAAATAATAAAATATCAACTAATAATATTTAAAGAAGCTCCACAATATATCACAAACTACAAAATGTGAAAAAAAAACAAAAACAAAAACCCAAACCTCTAGGCGACTGTCACATTTCAACACATACCTGAAATGATGTATGCCTTAAAAAATCCAATGTGACAAGTTTCCATTCTGGAAGTTATTATTTTACATATCTTTTATAAAACCCATTCTATTTACAAATTTAGTAAACAGCTACACCAGCTCAAATCTGCTTGATATTTGATTTCAAATAAGAAGAGGACTTATAGCAACATCAAGTAGATTTCTATCCTAAGTACATAAATTTTCAGTTCACGTCAAAATCCAGGAATTCCTAAATGCAAGTGGCACACAAAATTATACTTTTGTTCCATTAACTTGGGCCGAGGATAGGGTGGGGGTGGGGGAACATGTTTAAAGTGACACATAAAAACAGCAATTGTCTTAATTTGTGTGCAGTGCACTCCACACAAAAGCCCTAAATATGTTCAAATTAGAGCAAGCTGCTTGATTGTCACTGCAGTCTCATGTCACATTAATGCATGACAAACATTAAACCATACACTTAAATGGCAATTTATATCATTTAAATGTTTACTGCCAGATTAGCTCATCACTCATTTAAATGTGACTTTCTGACAGCTAATTTCAGTTAATTTTCTCCAATTCACTTAATTAGAACTTTCAATCAGAGAGGGAGGTATACGTATCTTCAGTTTACATTCTTTTATGTTGTTGTTCAAAATCTAGGTTAGTAAACTGCTGAAAACCACTACTATTACAGATTAGCATATAATACACCTCTGTCTACAAAAAAAGTGTGACTGTCTAAAGAAGCCTGGCACAGCATGGGGTCTTCGGGAAACCCTCCACTGATTTATGTAAACACTATTCTGACCAGTAGTTTAAATAAAAAACGTTTAGTTCATCTACACACACTATTGAAACAATAAAAAACAACAACCCTGGATCCAAGCTAATTAAAAATTAATGATTTCAAAATTGTTTAATAAGATCAAACAGTCAGGAGTCTCCTGAGTGTCTGTGATTTGAGACTATAAAATTCTAGAATGCTCAGCAAATGACGAGGTACGAATGAATTTCTCAATATTAAAGCGCTAAACACCTCGGGCAGTTTCACTGACCATGTCATCGAACCAACAAAAAAGTGTTTCTTTTTTGCGTTAAATAGATGATTGCTTCTTCTTTTAAAAAAAAAATCATTTTATTGGGGGCTCGTACAGCTCTTAACACAATCCATAGATTATTTTTTTATACACATTTGAACTGGTGAAGTTGAGTACCTAGATGTTTACATATTTTTTAATCTTGACAGTGCATCAAAATGTGAAGCAAAAATGCTGAAGTGAGAGAATTGGCTGGGTGTCACTCTACCCTGACCACACAGAGACACCCACGATGTCGTGGCCAGCCCTATCTTTCCACTGTCACACTGGTCAATCCTTACCAGTAATCAAGGAACACTTTCCTATGGCTTGATGAGTATATATCTTCATGAATAGATTCCGAATACATTTTTTGAAAAACGACATAAACTATCTCATTATCCATTTCAGGCATCTTTTGTAATAAGGAAAGCTTTAAAAGGGATGAAAAGAACAATGGCTACGAACATTAGAACTCACAGAACTCTATGGTAAGGTTTTGAAATCATTCCAGTACAAAGTCAATTTGGCCTTTTAAGCACCTTTTCAGTATCAGAGAATGACAACTGTGTAATAGTAAACAATGCACTTCTGGAGATTCGGTGGGGGGTGGGGAAAGTACAAAACAAAGGAGAAAATGGAGAAAGAAATGCAGATAGAAAATAATTCAAAAGTATCTGTCAAATTACATCTTATAGCTTTAGGTTTGGGGTACCAAAAACATAAATAGTATAACCAATATTAAAGCATTCACTGTTCTTTCCAATACCTTTTTAATACATAAAGATCTTTTAAAAGACTTTTTATATAGGATGCTTATTTAGATCCATATTTTTATTCACACACACAATTAAAAAATAGCCAGTAGAACGCTAAGCATTTGAGACTTTTCGAGGCCTTTAAGATAGACAGTCCTCATGAAGATTGGCGTTAACTACGGTTCCCAGCTCGGGGATAGGAACCATCTTCCCAGGCTGCTCCCAAACCTAACTAATCAATTGTTAGCACTCCCCAAGCAGGGTGGGTATAGATATCATTTACACCCAACGTACGCGCTGAATGAGTT